TGTGTTTATCAATCGATTATTGTGAAAATTGGTATTGGGGGGTTTTTTGGCACGAGAAAACCGAATCTGGCATTTAATTCAAGAACAGATCATATTTGAATACATTTCCCGTACAAAAAATCGAAAAAATCTCAAAAAATGTAGAGTTTCATCACCTTTTCAACCAAATATTAAATATTCTCACCGAAATTCACATAAATGATTCATAGCTGTCTTAAAACAAAAAATTGTGCAAGCATCCAATCAATTTGGTTAAAAAAAATATTTTTTTTCTTGCCAAAATTTATTACCTTTTAATTTTTTTCGAATATTTAAAGAAAGGAACGCTGTCCGGAGCAGTTATTATTATTATTAATACAAAAGCAATTTTTATTGTATGCTCTGAGGAGAATGGCCTGGAACGATTTTAGACTGCCAAAATACGAACACAGATTACTATTTCTACAAATGATTACTCTCTACTTTTATTTTCAAAATTATCCACGGAGATTTAAAGTCAACTAATGTTTCAAACATTATGAAATATTATGATTCAGCATATGATACCAGGTCAACACCACTATTTGATTTACCGATTAGAAAGACTGATTACACAAAATATGAACCAATAAATTATATGCTTACATCATTCAACGATTTTTATACCAAAAAAATGCCAAACAGTGATAAAAATTTAATTGATTTAGAAGTGCATTTATCAACAGTCAAACTGAGAATAGAAAATTATTTAAAGCAAAACAGATAAATACAAAATATTTGTTATGGATTATAGAAATTTTAAGCAGTTGGAAAATTAATTTATGAAATTTATATTATTTACATTAAAGGAAAGAAACAATAATTTTTCATTTTCACTATCAAAAATGCTTGATAGAAATCAAATTGTATTACAGTAAAACCTGTCAATAACGGAACCCCTAAATAGCGGAATTCCTGCGAATAGCGGAAAAAAAATTCTGCCGTTGAGCTCTCTCATACAAAATGACCCCCGAATAGCGGAGAGCACTTACCCCGAATAGCGGAAAATTTCTAGCGAGAATTTCTTCGATTTGCTAGGGTTTTTCCACAAGAAAGTTTTTTTTTCTGCTATTCAATTTCATGCGAGAATAGTAAAATTCTATCAATTTGCTATGGAAGTCTTTTTCTCTTTCTTGTGAGCCGTCTTATTATGTACAATTTGAAAACGAATTTTATGTACAATTACATTAATCACAATCCGAGATTCACATTGTTAATTTTATTTTGTATATTGACTTTTTATTGTTTTTATCGTGATGGTCGGCGATTCAGTATCGAATTTCGATAATCCAAACACATTCGGACACAGTTTAGACATTTTTTGTTTATTTAATTTTGAATAATTGTATTTTGCTTGATAAAATCGTTGAATGTATTAATTTAGTGCAAGAGGATATCCTTTCAAACAAAACAAAGCAGTCGGCAATCACTGATTACTTCACAAGAAATGTTTAAGACATTTAGTTCATTCATTCTTCTTTGGAAAGTTCATGTAAAATTTTACGTGTAATTAAATCTAAGAAAAAACTCATATCATTTTGTTATTTTTTTATTTACCCTGAAAATTTACTTTTAAATCTCCCGATAACGAAACCTCTGAATAGCGGAAATCCCCCGAATAGCGGAAAATAACGTTTCCCCGCCCGATTCCGTTATTGACAGGTTTTACTGTATATTATATTTATTTATTTAATTATATTATTTTCAATAAACCACCAAGCCGAAGGAACGCTTTTCCGTGCAGTTATTATTATTACAAAATTTCTGATATCAATTTTGTGACGAAAATAAATGATAGATAATTTTTCTGTGTACTGTGAATAAAAACTTAATATACATTTGAACATTCAAAACGTTGCAGAAATTCCTCTCTTTTTACTATCAGTATGGACTGATGACGCAATGCAACGTTCCGAATAAACAAATGTATACTAAGTTTTTATTCACAGTGCACTGAACAATTATCTATCATAAATTTTCGTCACCAAATTGATATCAGAAATTTTGTGTTTCACATTTTGGTTTCGTCACTCGCTCTTCACCTCGTCAGAAGTTTTTTATTTGATATCAGTAATTTTGTGAGAGTAATTTTCCAATTCAAAACATCTCCACACACATGAATTTTAATAATTTTGAAATACAATTAAAATATGGACTTTTAGGTTATTTTTTTGGCTCCAAATGTCATAAATTATGACTCATATTGAGACGGCCAATTTTCAGTGGTATATACTTTTTTTATCTTTGGGGCATAAATCGATGAAATTCTCAAAAGAAACTATCGAGTCTTTTTCGAGAAAATATCCGTTATGTGTCCGACCAGACGGTCAAATTTTGATTTTTGGCCGATTTAGCCATTCCAAATTGAAATTTTTGGACCGAAATTGGCTTTATTCGATAGCTCACTCCAAGACATTTCCATCGATATGCATATGTCCGGGGTGTGTCACATGCAGGCAACTCAGTGACCGTAATGACAAAAGTCTCTTTTGACTTTTGGAGGCCAGCCACGTCTAACATGGCGGCCAAATCGAAAAGCGCCGGATCAAATAAGTCTTAGTTTTTTATGTTTTTAAGCCCAAATAGTCAATCAGAATTGAGTACGCGAAATTGCGTACACACATACCAAATGACTTTTATAGGAAAATCATATGAAATTTTTAAAGTGCGAAATTTTTCGAACGGACTGATTTATTTCGACGTTTGAGGTATCGTTGGAAAGTTATTGAGCTTTTGAATCAGAATATCAATGTTTCAGGGGTAAACAACCTCATTTAGTGCCATTCGTGCCCTTTTCTTGAAACTTATCATCAGTTTATTTGAACAGTTAATTTAATATTAGATTTTAAATTTTTCAATTACTTTATTCAATAATCATAACAAAAATAAAGCCATTTGAAAGAGTTTTACTCGGGGGAGCGATGTGAAACGTACGATTAAAAACTTGATATCAGAGCCAGTCCCTCTTAACTAAAAATGGTACAAATTCGCAATAGATGGCGCTTATAAATCGACAAACACACTTACATTTTATCAGAAGAAAAATGAAAAATATTGAAATATTTTCAAAATATTTAATTTAATAATTTTAATTTAAATAAATTTAAATGGAGTGCCTTCTAGTGCTTCTCTGATTATAATGGTTTTAAAGTACTATAGAAAATATCAAATGTGATATTTGTTGTTTCGAAATGTCAAAAAATGTTGTATTGGTTTATTTTCAAAATGCACAGAAGTTTTCAAAAAAAAATTAGTTATAATTATAATTTTATAAAATATTTTAAAGCACTCAATTTATTTTATCATATATGATATTTCATTATGCTATACTGACTGTCGACAAGATACACACGCAACGGTGTTGACTATAGTGCACATCATGTATATCTATAGTGTACACTACACTCGACACTGTTGTGTATCATGCGCAATAAAGCTTGACAGACAACATAAGACATGTGCACAAAGGCACACTGAGATATCATATATGATAAAATAAATTGAGTGCATAAAATATTTTATAAAATTATAAATCTAAACAAATTTCATCCCGAAAAATTCTTTGCATTTTGACAATCAACCAATACAACATTTTCGACATATCGAAACAACAAATATCACATTTGATATTTTCTATAATTCATTAAAAACCATTGAAAACAAAAGAAGCACTAGAATCACATCAATTAAATTTAACTAATTTAAAAATATTTCAATATTTTTCATTTTTCTTCTAATAAAATGTAAGCGTGTTCGTCGATTTATAAGCGCCATCTATTGCGAATTTGTACTATTTTTAGTTATGAGGGACTGGCGCTGATGTCAAGTTTTTTCACGTCGCTCCCATGGTTTTACTATCTGCATCTTTTTTTATTCGTTTGTGTTTCGAAAAAAGATCCTTGTTTTTTATGAAGTGCACGCGCATCTATTCATGCTTTTCGACTGCAATCATACGCTCGGATGTACGTTCATTTTTTTCTTTACAATGATATTTTCCCCTATAAATTTATATATTATATAGAACTACTTATAGGTTAACTTTGATCATTTGCGATTTGGTGCTCTCTCACACTATTTGAATCTAAAAAATAATTTCTCTACATATTTTTTGATTTTAATATACGGTTACCACTTACTTCAGCTGCATAAAATTTCATTTCAGATTCATTGAATACACCATGTTGAGATAAATGATAATGAAGATCTCCGCCATTCATTAAATCCAATATAAAGCACAATTTATCAGGCGTATGAAATGCATACGTCATACATACAATAAAAGGACAATCCACCTGCAAATTTAAACCAAAGTTATCTAAATGAAACGGTTGTTATTATCAAAATTACTTACACCTGTGCTAACTAATGACAGCATCGTCCTTTCATTTAATGCCAATGTTTCCCCTTGTTTCATTTTAATTCGCTTTTTATCCAAACATTTCATTGCATACATTTTACCTAAGGGGAGAATCACAAAAGAAAAGAATTAATTCAAAATAATCGACAAATAATCGACGAATAATCGAAAATAATCGAAAATAATCGAAAATAATCGAAATAATCGGAAAAGAATCAATGACAATTATTAAATAATAGAAAGGTAATTTTTAAATGAATTGCCCCTAGATTTTACCCGTATCAGCTTTTCGGCATCCGTAAACTTCACCGAAGCCACCACGACCGATTATGCGATGCACGCTAAAATCATTCATAGTCAACTAAAATACAAACATATAATATATATAAACTTTTCAAAAATTCGATTTCACTGAAACAGTTTAGGATAATATCGTGGAACTTCTTCTAAGTTCTTATCATGGGGTACCCGTCATGGTCATTTTTTCTAAATTTTGATCATATGTGTTTGCAAGCGTGTGCCCTAGCTTTATTTCAATGACAATATTGCTATTTGATAAATGCCCAAATTGATATCTAAAATGTGTTTACAGAATCTGGTGAAAACAGCTCGATGAATATTGGTTCAACTTGTGGAACACTTTTTCACTTCGCGAAATCGCCAACTATTGAACTATTTTTCTTTGAATATTTTTTTTTTTGTTCTATTCTATCCCACAAAAAATCGCAATACTTTGTGTATATTTTTCCATAAGAAATAAATAAAAAAATATCACTGTTCAAGTTGAAAAATACAACAGAGACGGGACTAGTCACTCCTACCTAATTCGGCGCCAAGGAATTCAGTGGTGATAACCGTTTTTCTTAGTTGGCTCATGACTTCATACAAATTTTTTTTTTGAAGTTTCCATTTTTCACTATTCTGGGAGATGATGTGTTAATCAATCGATTATTGTGAAAATTCGTATTGGGGGGTTTTTTGGCACGGGAAAACCGAATCTGGCATTTATTTCAAGATCCGATCATATTTGAATACACTTCCCGTACAAAAAATCGAAAAAATTACAACAAATGTGGAGTTTCATCACCTTTTCAACCAAATATTAAATATTCTCACCGAAAATCACATAAATGATTCATAGCTGTCTTAAAACAAAAAATTGTGCTAGCATCCAATCAATTTAGTTAAAAAAAATATGATTTTCCTTGCCAAAATTTATAACCTTTTAATTTTTTTCGAATATTTAAAGAAAATTGCTTTGATTTATATTTTAAGTGCTCAATATTTTTTTAAAACTACAAATTCTATTCATTTACAATCAATTTTATGTGTTTATTTGATTTTTTGAAGCAAAAAAGAATGAATTTAAATCCAGTTTTCATCTTCATCATCTAATTCCATTTGTAAGTTCCAGCAGAGGTCAGGAAGCAATAAATTTAGTCTCTTGCCACTATACCAGTGTTCAAGCTTGTAAATGAATGGAACTTGTTGTTTCTAAAGCAATTTTCTTTAAATATTCGAAAAAAATTAAAAGGTAATAAATTTTGGCAAGAAAAAAAATATTTTTTTTAACCAAATTGATTGGATGCTTGCACAATTTTTTGTTTTAAGACAGCTATGAATCATTTATGTGAATTTCGGTGAGAATATTTAATATTTGGTTGAAAAGGTGATGAAACTCTACATTTTTTGAGATTTTTTCGATTTTTTGTACGGGAAATGTATTCAAATATAATCTGATCTTGAATTAAATGCCAGATTCGGTTTTCTCGTGCCGAAAAACCCCCCAATACCAATTTTCACAATAATCGATTGATAAACACA